TTTATTTATTCGTTAATTATTTGAATAGTAATAATGTTCTACGGTTCAGATAAAATATTATCGTACCGGATAATTATTGAGTATACAGTGTATACGTTTTTTTTTTTTACAAAGTTGCGCCCGAATTCGTACCAGCAATCGTGTTGGTTTTATTTTATATTTACTGAGTATTCATTGATTCGTCGAAAAACATACGCGACCGTGCTGTCGAAATGGACAAACGTACGCGACCGTGTTCTATCCCATGAGTATAAATAACCCGGGCCCGGGTGGGTACAGCGCCGAAATATAACATCGTGCCGTATATATACACATTCAATTATCGACCGTCAATGATGTGTTTTTTTTTTTCATTTTTAAGCGAAAGCTTAAAAGCTTTACGATTTTTAAAACAAAAATCGCATCATAATTTGTCTGGCCTTTTAGTGTCGCAGTATTTCACGGTACTTACTGTATAGTTGCGCGGTTCGGTTTAGGGCGTGCGGTTCAGTGGTTCGCGCGGGATCGACAAAAAGTTCTCTCGATTAATAAACTGGCGGGTATCCAAAGACGGAACTATTTACATCGCGGCGGTCTCGCGAAAATTAGGTCAAAACGTCAAATTTCGAAATAAATTATTGTCCGTCATAATAGACTGCATGCGTATTTGAAAAAAAAAAAAAAACTTTATTCTTTAATCAATTATTAATTTTGTATTCAGAGTGGACGAGAAACGTATTAATTTTACAATAATGTTTTTTTCTTTTTTTTTTTCTGTGGACATTTTCTCCGTCAGCAAATTTGCTCGGATTTTCATTGATAGCAATTTTTCCGAAACGAAATCGGACCGGAAAAGAACTTGACGTTAATAACTTTAAAACGTATTAACGATAACCTTTGGGGTGTATTGTATCGTCCGTGACGTGATGTTGTTTTATTTTGATGGCATGGTTATTATTAAGTATTTTCAACATTTCAGCGCAGAAAACTCTGGGAGACGGCGCGTACGGGGCGGAATACGGAATACGGGAAACCGCAATGTCCAGCTGCGGTTCCGGTTTGATAAAAATTTGACAATTATTATGATCTGGCCGACTTCCGTAGAACTCGTGAATAATATGATTATTCGATATATACATACATATATTAGAAAATATGAATTATGCGTTTTTGTGTTTCTTTTCAACACATTTCAAACTTCTCTTGGCCAGACTCTACGGATCGCGACATTTCCGTGAACGCCGGACGATAGAAAATGTCATTTGAACGACGAAAAATATTGGAAAAGGGGAAATCTTCAAAGGGTACTTACGGGTACTTTACGCGCGCCGGGAGACACAGCATGGCTGATAATATTGTATAATACCAATAAACGATCAAACCGAAATCCATTCGGTTAGTATATGACAATAACTGACCACCGAATCTGCTACTAGTGAATGAATACGTTTTGTCCGGACGAATCACTGGAATTATTAAGTTTGATTCGTTAGTCTGCAGTCCTAAATCGATCTTCAGCTTAATAACATAATACAATGGCTATTATTGAACCATATCGAGAAATTGACATTTAACGTTTCGACGATAACAGATCGCGTAAGAACGAAAAAAAAAAAAAAAACTGCCAGTTTAATTACGCGAGTATCAAAAAGTATTTTTTTTTTTTCAATATCGAATTAGTTTTAATAAATATATTTGCATTGTTCTTCACCGTCGGACGAATACAAGTGTTTTTATTATTAAAAATCGATAAAAGGTATGATATTACTCGGTGACACTTATTTGATAGAGACTTCCAGAATATCTACGCGAGAAAACTCTTTGTTTTTAAGTTTTTGTTTTTTTTTCATCATAACAATAGTTGGTGTTTACGTTTTTCTTTGAAATAAAACGACTTTTTGTGACAATGGAAATATATATATATGAAAGTGGGTTTTTTAATAATAGGTATCATGCGCATACAGATAAATAAATACGAGTTTTATTATTTAAAAATGTTATTTTTTAATATCGTTAAGACCGTGGGGTTGATTATAACGATATTAGAAAAATAAAACAATTAGAAATGTAAATATACAAAAGTAAACCTTTGAAATTAAAATATCCTAGTTTTTTAAGTCCACGGGCTCAATTGTGCAAATTGTATGGCGACGGAACCATTGTGTTGTGCACTGGCTTACGAGTATAATAATAAAAATAAAGCAAATTATACGAAATTGCAATTTGTATTTTTACCGACATTCGCTGTGCCGGTTAATATTTTACATGTTAATATTAACCTTGTACATGTTATGCGTTTTGTCTTAACTTGTGTAAGTACAGAATTTATTTTATTTTTTTTTTTATTATTATTATGAAATCATACGGTAGTTGTAGCAACGTAGCCGTTATCAGGCGTTGTGGAAGTTATGACAATAATTTTTTTTCGATTAAATTGTTTAAATACCGAATTTTTTCCAATACGTTTTGACACGACAGCACATCATTAGGTTGCATAATAGTGCAGTCCTAAACACTTCAATTCACACAAAACATTTCAATTGTACAGATGTATGAACAACAATAATGAATATTGTATTTGAATCCTTCATCCGATATAAAAAAAACAAACAAAAATTGTGTCCAAATCGACACACTCGGTATTTATATTGAATCGTAACATTTTTTTTTATTTTATTGAAAAAAAAAAATGTATATTTACAATCGGTATTTACAAGTTTTACAATAAATAAATTGAATTAGGTTCTAATGACGGGTGGAGGAAACCGCTAATTGGCGGCATCCCGTAGTCATGAAAATAATAAAAAAACAAAGAAACGGCCCCAGAAGAACCGAGTAGGTGGGTTATTAGGTTAGGTTGGTTTAGGTTGACCGGATACAGGGTGATCAATATAACGTAAGATACTCGTTATTTCGGAAAGTACACTTTAACTATTTTCGGACACTAATTTTTAGAAAACGTACGATACAAGCAACTTTGAAATATCTACGGAACTCGGCTAAGAACCGTTTTTTCGTTTATCGTTGATTACAGATATACATTAAATGCACCCTCTGCTACTTCTCCGACTTCTCACCTGCGACAGCGGCCGCACACACGGGCGGAGTTGCCCGTTTTTTCAATACTGCAGATTACTATTCGAAAACCGTAAACAAACAGCGGTTTCGCGTTGTGTTGATCGCTTTGCATACGATCGAGAAAAATAACCGTATTTGAAATAACGGCGAAATGCTGTTTCCAATAGAGTCAATAGTGTGCGACACAAGACTCACACTGACGAGCGCAATTCTTGCGCAGCTCAGTATTTCGATGGGTGACGATTGTTTTTAATTTCCAACAGGAAATTCGTACGCGTTTGATTCGGTTTTATTCTCTCTCGGAGTAATATCCAATGAAAAACGTTTCAGTATACGGAAAAAAGAAGGGAACCGTTTGTCCGACGCGCAGGTACGCGCGTCGTTAAAATGCGGGGACGGCGATAAAAGAAACTGCGGACGCGATCCACGCGCGTACGGATTGAATATGCGCGTGATGGGTAAACGCGTTTAAAATGGTAATCGCCGGACGGCGCGCAACGACGGCCGGTGTTTTTTTTTTTTTTTTTTTTTCTTTTCTCTTTCGAGTCTTGCCGTTTTCCGGTATTAAAAGCGCGTGTATTCGGGCGAGAGGAAAAAAAAAAAAAACACGAACACCGCCACTGCGGCGCTTTCCGAACCGGGAATAACAGCGAATTAAAGTTTCACCAAAACCGTACCGAACCCACACGTAGGAACCGTTATTATTACTTATTAACACGCGCGGCACCGCGTTCGGCGGACGGGTACGCCCGGCCTATCGGCACTCGGGGACGTATAAAAAAAAAAACGGTTTTTCGGTCCGAGTCGCTAACGGCGTGTTTATTATGTAGGCGCGCGCGGCTTTTCTCCAAAGGACCGGGGCCGCGGAAAGCGTTACGCGCGCGGCCGCGGAAAAAACGCCGGATTCTCGTCGCATGAATTATTCGCCGGACGCGAGTTAAAAAGTTCGCGTTGGCGGCTACCGCGGTATGCGCACCCCCGCCCACGAAATGCTACGCGCGGCGACGGCGTATTTGCGTAATAATAACAATTCCGCGGTTTGCGGGCGCAAGGTGCGGGCCGACGTCACGTTCCGTGAGATCGGCCGAGAGACGGGCTTTGAAATTTTAACTCTCCATAAGGATCCGTGTAATTTTTTTTTTTTTTTTAAACGTAAACGTTCGAGCGGTTTTCGTTTTGTTTACAAAAACTCAAACGATATTTTCAGTGAGAAAATAAAAAAAAAAAACGTCCCGAGATAATGAGCACGGGTGCGGCCGCTGTTGTAGGCGAGGAGTTGGGAAAGGTAGGATATAGACGGGAATCAAATGCATATTCCGTAATCAACGACCGGCCATTGCTAACCAGAATACGATTCTGAGCGGAGTCTGGTCGATAGTGTTGATTTGTCGACAATTCACATGCCATATTTTTGGTAAAATAATTACATATGCATTACCTGAACAATTTATTTGATAATATTTATTGAATATTGTTCCTATTTTCCCGTTCTCGGTTTATCAAATTTATTGAGAAAACTCTTGGAAAATTCAAAAAATGACCTCCTTAAAATACCTCCCCTGTCTGTATTCCTTTCAGAAAAGGTACTGACATTGTTACTCGGAAGAAAATAGGTAGTAAGGTGGTGGGAGAGTTGTCCACCGGAAAAAAAAAATAAATAACATTGTAAAACTATAAGTTCCTTCGCTCCACCCAGAATCTAAATTGTTAACATTTTTCGTTGTTTTTTCTTTCATCCTGGCTGATTTTTTCCAAAAAATCGACATCGGTGCTCCTTGCGCCGTGTCACGGATATATTTCCGCATGCCGAAAACGACGAAATCGCGTGACAGCCGGGAAAACACGCAACGGCGCGGGTGTATTTTCACACGACGGTATGATTTTTATTCTATACCGCAGGTACGCGGCGGGTCCGTCTCGTAAAATTAGATAAAACAAACCGGCGTGCGTCGGGACTGCGCTCGTACAACAAGTATAGTCATACGGTTGAAAACGATAAGGTTTAAATTCAACTCGACACTAGTGCGCCGCGAGACTACCTCTAATCCTCGAAAACAATTACATTTTTTTTTTTTTTTTTTTTTTGCGGAAAAAGTGAATCCCTCGGTAAGCGTACGCATACCGTCGAACAAACATAGTCCGCGACCAGCGTTTTAAAACGCGCGCAATATTATGTTTCGAAATTCAAATCTGACCCTAGAAAATAACAACAACAACAACAACAATAACAGTAATAATAATGATTTCAACCAATTTTTCGGCAATAAATTCATAAAATAAAATGTCAAATAACAGAGACGTAAAAACACATTTTAATGTAGGTACTCGGATGTCGGTTCGTGAAATCGGATATTTAATTTCCCAAGAGTTTATTTATTATTTTTTTTTTTTTTTTACAGTATCGGAATAATAATGTTTTACATTAAAATATATTATACGGATTCCGATGATTTTTGTTTGCCCTAAATATATTAGATAAACTAGTTTTATTCTTTTCAATCACATTATGATGATTTATGATTTTATCGGAGTTTGGTAATTTATTATATTTGTTTAAGAAACAAATATAACCTACTTAAAAATTCAATTTTTTTTTCTTTTAAATTCACTAATAATTTGTTCACTACAGTTTTAAAGTGTATCAAGTTTTTTTTTTTTTTTTTTTTTT